ATACAAATGAACTTACAACACAGAAAGAGGCTCACAGACTTAGAAAACGAACTTACGATTGCCAAGGAGAAGGGATAGTTAGGGACTTTGGGAAGGTCATGTACACATTGCTTTATTTTAAATGGATAACCAACAAGGACCTATTGTATAGCACGCGGGACTCTGCTCCATGTTATGTGCCAGCCTGGATGGGAGAGGGATTTGGAGAATGGATACATGTATATGTATGACTAAGTCCCTTCCTATTCACCTGAAAGGTTAAAATTTGGAAAAAAAATAAAAAGGAAAAAAGAATGGTGGATACTTTGGGAGAAAGATGGAGTTTAGTTACCACCAAGATCTTAGCTTTCATGTGGTAAGTTCTTATGACAGTACTGTAATTAAACAAATGCGTTCTGTGCATAGGGCAATGAAAAGAATGTGTCATGCAACAAGGGTATGATTAATCTAATTCTGTGCACCTGACAACCATTAAAGGCAAGTAAGAAATTACACCTACTTCCTCCAGGTAGCCTCACTGGTTTGGGGGTCGTGGGGGAAAGATTCTTCATTTCCAGGCCTCTCTGGGGCTTTTCTCAAGGGACTGTCTCTAGGTTCTTCTCCTGGAGAGGTGAGCTGGTGGCACAGAGGTGGGGAAGCAGGGATGGGAGTAATCCAGGGTTTAGCTACTTCAGAAAGAGGGTCCTGGAATTGGTGGAGTAGGAACCTGGAGACGCGGGTCAGCTTCCGTTCCCCCCATTCTCTAGGCTAGGAACTGCAGGGTGTGTGGTCTGCCACTCATTTCTTGTTTTGCTTCACTGAAGACATCAGGATGGGGTGAGAAGGAGCTTCAGAGGTGGTCCAGAAAGACTGGGACTGTGGCCACATGGTAGAGAGTTGTAAGCATTCTGGATACTGGGGAGCTGGGTCCAGTGGAGGCCAAAACCACCATCTTCAAAATTCAGTTTGGAATTCCAGGGCTGCTGACTCACATTTTACATTCCTTTTTTTCAGCCTGCGCCATCCTTGGTACCCCCTGCCTCTCAACCCCACCTTCCCTGCTCTTCCCTTTTTTCATCCCAGCTGTATTTCCTAATCCTGTTCTCTCACCTCTACTTTTACCAAGCCCCTAAATGAGGCCCTACTTTGTGAAAAAAGGGATGCGGGGGAGACCCTGGGAGGGCAGCTTCAAACTTTTCACCTTAGGGGAAGGAGCTGGAGGTCAGAATGTACTGGGCCTGAGTCTTACCTTTAGGAAAGGGGTCAAAGGTCAGGCTACACTGGGCTAAAGGTACAAATGGGGCTGGAGATTGTACTGGACTAAACTAGCAGTCCTGAGATCGGGGGGGCTGGAGATCAGGCTGGATGGGACTGGGCTAGGAAACATGGGGAAGGAGCTGGGTTCAGGCTGAGCTGGGATCTGGGGGTAAGGGCCTGGGCTTCTGCAGTAGGGCCAGGCTGGGATACCCAGTTGGGCTGAAACAAATTTTCCAGCATCATGCTGGGCCTGGGACGAGGCCCTCAACTGCACCTGGGAACAGAGGATATGACAGCTTTGAAGGGCTTCTTACTTCCCCACTCCCCAGCAACGCCTCCTGAACAAGGGCCTTCCCCAGAGGGGCTGCTGGGGCAAACAGGGAGGAGCCAGAGCTGGGGCTCCAGAGGAAGTCGCTGGTCACTGTTTCCTGAGTTCAAAAAGTGGGTTCTCCTGTCTCTCTGGCCCACTCCCTTTCCCCAAGCAGGGAAGAGTCTGGGCCTAGCCATCTACTTCTCCCCATGACCCCCACCTCCCTTTTAGAAACACACACACAGAGAATGGGAACCTGCAAAAGGCCCACTCTGGCAGGCCCATAACCCAACATGATCATACTGCCAAGCCATGCATTCAAAAGTACATCCTCATTTATGTACTTGTAGCTGCCAATCACACCTAGGGGTCGTGCCCTCTCTGTCTTGTTCAGCACATCCCTAGCACCTGGAGTTGCCTCAATGCATATTAGTTGAATGAATGAATCCACTAAGACATACATCATAAATAAACGCATATACAAGCCCACACACCTATTCATAGACTCCCTTACATACACATATCCAAGCCCTCTTTCAGAAGTTACTACATACACTAGCTCACACTCAGGCAAAAAAGCCAGATGTTACCTAGTGCCTGACACAAACACACTGCAGACAGGCATCACCTAGGACTTCCAGGGTGAGTTGGTGGTCATAGATGGCTGGTAAATGTCCTTCAGTCAGATCGGGCCTGCAGAGGGGTGGGATGTGTGTGTGTGTGTATACAAGTGCAGGCCTTGGAGTTTTGAGGTGTTGGGGCAACAAGGACCTCGACTGGTGCCAGGCAAGGCCAAGGTAACTGCACGGACTGGAGGGTGGGGCTGGGCCAGAAGGTCCTTTGCTCTTGTTTCTTCCTGCCAGCTTGGAGGTGGGGGCAGAAGTGCAGGTCTATTGAGGCCTTACTTCAGATCCAGAGACAATAGGAGAACAGTGAGGCCCCAGATGCCTGTCTGGGATGAAAAGGAGGGAGACTGGGAAATCCCTAGCACTTTCACTGTCACGACCTGGGTTCAATCCCTGGTCAGGAAACTTAAGATCCCAAAAGCTTATCTTGAACGCTAGGCGGCACAGTCCCCCACCCTGCCAAAAATGAGGGAGACTGGGTAGGAGACTTTGCAGGTGCTAATAGCAGATCCCGAACCCAATGCAGGGTATCCCTACCTTGCCAATCTTCTGGAACAGTGAGGGAGGAAGTGAATAAGGGAGAATCATCACCACCTGGAAATGAGTCTGAGACTATTCCTCCTCCTTCCTCTCTGTGGAGCTTCAGGCCATCCTGAACATTAGCACTGAAGCATCCTCCTCCCTCTGTGCCTCCACCCAAAGTCAGCAAGGAGACAAGCTTACTCTCTCCTCCTTTCCCACCCAGGGTCCTCACTCCTGGGGAGACTAGTGCAGAGCTCAGCTGGGCTGGTAAGCTAGAGGCCAGGTAGGGATAGGAAGCTTACAGACAAAAACAGGCCTGAGTCTCCCGAGCATTAGACTGTTAGATCAAGTCTAATGGTCCAGAGCTCCTGCAATCTAAGCTGCTTACCAGGTGAGAACCCCTTCCCTCACCCCACCCCTAGCTCCCTAATTCAAGGCCGTCTATGCCAGGAACCCTGCCTCTGAAGGACCAGAAGAGTTAGGGGTGTGGAACAGCAATCCGGGAAGGGACCACCTGGGAAACAGGAAGAGCAACACCAGAAGAGTAAGGTAAAAGGGAGATGGGGGGGTGGGGAGGAATTCACAATTCATACCTCCTCCCCAGTGGCTGTTTGTAGAGGCTGTGGGAAAGAGGGGAAAAGGCTGCCTTGGACTGAGACACAGGCATCAATGACCAACCAAGACACTCTCAAACCAAAAAGTCTCTTTATTGATCGATACCATACATGACTCAAATGGCCCAAAAAAAAAAAAAAAAAGGCGTTACAGTTGGGGTGGGACATCCATCTTCCCTACCCCTTCCCTCAGCTCCTGACACAACACCCTTCCAATAGTGGCAGCTGGAGTGGAGGAAACAGGATGTGGGGGGCCCCAAATCCAGAAGGAAGTGGGGAGAGGTGGTGCTAACACTTCTGGAACTGGCCACAGGAGAAGGCAGCGAAGCCAGAGCTGGGCCCAGACTCATGGGACCCTGCTCTTGGCCTCACCCTGGGCCCAGAGCCTCCACACATCCATCCAATTGTGAGGCAGAGCTGAGGATCCTGGCTGCCTCCTGTCCTTCTGTGAAGAAGGGGAGGGAGGAGATATTGGGAGATGAAGAGCCTTTACTTCAGCTGGAGGACAAAAGCCTATTGCTCCCTGGTGGGCTTAGAGCTGGGGACATCCTCAGTGGCTCCTACCCCTCTGAAGGGCAGGGGAGGACTAGATATGCAGCTTGAGGAGGTGGGAAAAGGAGAGTACTGGAGAGTAGATGAACCCCCTCCTCCACCCCCATGCCTGCCCAACTGAGACAAAACAAAAACACAGTAACAAACAAGGCTGTTCCCTTCCCTCCACACTCCCTGAGGGAGGGAGCCTCCCCCTCCCCCCATGCAGACAGCTGCTCTAGGGGAGGGCTTGTGAAGAATATACACACCGTGGAGGGAGGGGGTGGGGACTGGGAGAGAGGGAGTCACAAGCACTAGGAGGGCAGGCCAGAGTCCTAGAGGAGGGAGACAAAGACAACAGCAGGGGGTTGTCACATGGGTGAGGCCATCAATGGCTCCCAGCCCCATGGCGTGCCTTCCACACTCCAGTCACCCCGAGGAGAAGGGAAGAGATGGCAAAGTGTCTCCTTGGTCTGAAGCTCTCAAACTGTTATCAAATGGTAATGCACAGCCCCCTTCCTCCACATGGGCTCTAAGCTCCCCATCTGCCAGGCGAAGGGAGGTAGCTGGACCTTTAATAAGGGGAAGAGGGGGGGGACATGAGTGATTTTTTTTTAAAACTTACATTTTTAATAATATTATTTTTTAAAAAACTTGGAGCTGGGATAGATGGCAGGAGGGAGGAGTCCAGAGCTTTACCCCTCTACTACCAGCCACCTAAAGGGAGAGTTTGGGGAAGGGGCATTCAACCAAGCCCCATGACTTTAAGTCCCTAAGGGCTGTGGGTGTAGACAACCCTGGGCTTGAAGGGGGTGGAGTCAGGAAGATGGGGGTACCCAGAAACTGGGGTGAGGATGGAGGCAAATGCCCTGGGCGGGGGGTGGGGGGGGTGGTCAGGACATTTCTCAGAGGCCCAGGGTCCACGGAGGCATCCGCATGAGGCCCCCCTTCCCCCAAAAGGCTCTGCAGAGGCCAGCCCCAGCCCAGGGCCACTGGGGGACAAATCTTGGCACCTGCCCCCAGTAAGTCCAGTTCCTCCCTGAAGCGGGGGGATGAGGCTGCCCATATCAGATGCTCAGTCTCTTCATTCTGTCTTCTGCTCCCTGGGGCTGCGAGGGGTGGGGCAGGCAGGCAGAGTGCTGGGTGGCTGTGGCGGGGCCTTTACTGGGAGGCCTGTGACGTGGGGTTCTCCGATTTGCTCTCTTGGCTGGATGGAGGCTTGCTGTTCCAGGGGCTGTTGGCGCCCAGGGCAGGGGAGTTGTTAAAGCTGTCCTCGTCGTCAATGCCGTTGGCCGCGTCAAACTGGGTGTTCTCCAGCCGGGTGATGAGCCTCTCGTCCTCGTCCCCGAACTCCCCGCCCATCAGGGTGGGCTCCCCCACCACCATCACATCCTGAGAGTGGCGGAGGTCCCCAAACATAATCGGGGCAGGGGCTCGCCCAGCCCAGGGCAGCAGATTCCCCCAAAGCCCCAACACCCACCCAGGAAACTCAACCCCCACCCACCAGCTCATATCCCAGTTTACAACCCCATCTCCTCTGACACCCTCAGCCCCTAGAATACTTCCAACTGAAAGACTGCAAAAGCATCACAGCCTTTAACCCACATCCACTGGATTTTGGGAGAAGTCGATCTACTCCACCAGCTCCCTAATCCATCTCTCCCAAATTTTAGGGGGCTCCTAAACTTCTGTCCACATGTAAGAGACGGAGCAGATCAAAAACACCAGTGGCGGGGGGACTATGTGCACGTGCACGTGTGTGTATTCTAGATTCACACACATTTAAGTCTCTGTGTCCTTCTGTTAGTATGTGTCTCTCTGGTGGTCTGTGTGCCCCTAACCTGTCTGTCCTTTATGTCCAGATGTCCCCATGGCTGTGTCCGTCCCTTTGTGTCCTATGTTGCCATGTCTGAGTCTATGTGACTACAGCCATGCATATGACTGACAAGGACTCTCAGATAGGAGTTAGCCCCCAGTGGGAAAAACTGTCTTGTCTTTGCTTCTACGTGTGCTAGTGAGCTCAGGGTGGGACAGGGTTAAGACTCAGAGGTCAGCAGTGGGGCAGCCCAGAAGAGAGAAGAAAGCCGAGATGCTTACAGGTACCTGGCTGGAGAGGGCGAAGGTGCTGGCTGGGCTTTTCTTCTTGCTGTTGCTGTTGTTGGTGTTGCCGCCCCCCGAGCTCATGGTGCTGCCCCCAGACATCTTCCGTTTCCGCCGTTTGCTGGGCTGCTGCCGTGCAGGCTCCGCTGTGCCAGGGAAAGGAGACTCAGGAAGGGTAAGGCCCGGGGCTCCCTGTTCCCCAATCTGGCTCCTAAGGAGCCTGAGCCTACCCTGATCCCAATCTTGCAGACCCAGGAGCAAGGAAAGGGCTTCGTGAGGAGTTAAGAGATACAGCCTTGAGGAGCAGCATCACATCCTAGAAAGAGCAGGTGCAAGTGCAAGGCACTCACCGGGGGGCGCTACCATGCGCTGCCACTTCTGGAAGAGGCAGGTCTTGAGGCAGTCACGGGGGCTGAGGCTGTAGGTCTTGTGGCGGGACATAAGCTCCTGCATGGGCTCGAGTATCACACAAAGCTGGGGGGAGACCAGTTGGTGGCTTGTCAGGGGACAGGCGTGGAGCAGAGACCAAATGGGATGGGGCAGAAACGAGGTGATCAGAGACTCACTCGGAGGTAGTTGAGAGTGGAATTGGACAGCCCACACCGGGTGATGTTTTTGGAGAGCTGATCTAACATCTGGGGATCCTGGGCCTGGAGAAGAAAGGTAAGAATACTAGCACCTGCTTACGTGCCCAGTCAACTGAGCCTTGCGACACCCCGAACAGAGGAGGAGCTACTATATAAAAATTCACTTCTCATATAGATAAATTTCAACCCTGTCTAGGGCCACGGCAGGAAATATGGCACACCAGGTTCCACCCTTCCTGCTGCCCGCCCGCACCCTGGTGTCTTAGGTCCTGCCTATAACTCACATGCATGGCAAGGATGCTTCGGGGGATGAGCTCTCGGTGCTGCCGGATGCTGAAGTGCCACGTCTTTATCCGCATCATGTCATCAAACATGAACTCCAGGTACAACCGGCCTTCCACACAAACCTGGAAACAAGCTTGTCACAGGTCTGCCCACCTCCCCACACACCCAAAAGTATACTTGTTCCCATTTCCTCATGACTCTCACACTGCACACACTCCTGTCACCTGAACATAAATTTGGGTGTGCACAACTGACATGAACCATCTCCTCACACACCCGCCAATCCAGTCCATACACACACACGCACAGCAGAAATGCTTAATAGATCCTTGTCCTCTCCTCATGTAGCCAGTAAAACACTCGTCTGCTATAAGCTCCATGAGGACAGGCTTGTGTTCACTTGTGTCCCCATGACCCAAAAAACTGTCACCTACAAACTCAATACATGTCTGCTGAAAACTGCAGCATGCCTGCCTGCCCTGCATATCTTGCCACTTCCCTGGGTATCATTCAAGTACATTTTGGGGAGCCAGTAGAGGAATCAAACTTAGGCCCTTCAGTGTTTCACATCCAACTGGGTGCTGACCTGGGTGAACATGGGTTTGCCGTGCTGGGTCACCATGCTGCCCTGGTCACAGTCAAGGGAAACGAAGTTGCTGTGGAATGCCTCTTTGGGGTGCTTAAGCACATAGTAGAGCTCTGTAGCACCCCCCTCGAAGATGCTGCGGAAGTAGCGTGGGATCAGGGTCCGGCCAATGGCTGCAGAGACGGGACAAACTCTTCAGGATAGAAGGCTCTCAGAGGCGGTCAGACAGGTAACATCCCTGTCAGGAGATCCCCTGGGACAAACACCCAGCCCCACATCTTTGGACACAGGAGGTGTATACTTTTATAGCAGAACTGGCAGGACCTGCAGAGGCCACTCACTGTATCTCTTTGGTCCATCCTCCAGGCAGAAAGTGATGGTTAACATGGCATCATCCTCAAAGAACTCAGTTGTGAAAGCATCCCACCAGAGATTGTCACACTCCTAAGGAGCACAGGGAGGGGTGCATGTATCAGCAGACATGGCACAGGGATGCCCAGATGGCCTTCTCCCTCCCAGCTCCTTTCCCCTGGCTATACCTCTGTCCAGTTTTGAAGCCGTTTGTTAAGCTCGAATATTCTGTAGTCAGTTTGGTTGCCATATGGTGTGTGCCTTCTGGGGAAAGTGAAGAAGGGAGGTCAGTAGGAGCAGACCCTCCCCCCCCCACCTCTGCCTTCACCTCTGTAATGGAGAACCAACCTCCCCACTGGACTCCACTTACCCGATCCCAGGCTCCAAGTATGTAGGCGGGTACATGGGAGTTGGGCTGTGAAAGGGAAAAGGCTATGAGAATGGGGTAGAAGACAGGAATTATTTGGGGGTGTCACTCCATCCCCTTGCAGGATGCCATATGGGGAACGGACAGGAAGAAGAAAAGAAACTCACCCCACATCCCGATCTAGCATGGTGCCGGGATGGAAGGGCGGGAAGGCGTTGCCGTTGGGGGGCTCCTTCGGTGAGTACAGCTTGAATGACTTTGAGGAACAACCTAAAAGGGAAACAAAGAAGGGGTCCCCCGAGTCGCTCTTGGGAGCGCTCCTGGAAGGCTGTTAAGACTGTATGCACAGGAACTGGTCTTCTGGAGCACCCGAGTACACTGTGAAAGGGAGATTACCCCAGGGAGCAACTATCCCATCTTCTAAATCTGGCTCCAATTTTGTTTTACAAACTAGAAGTTCTCAGTCCTAATACTCAAGAGCCCATTTCTTCATGTGGCTGAGCCCTGGATGACAGAATTGAAACTGGAAAGAAATGTCAATAACCAGAGGATAAATATATAAACATCAGAATCTAAAATTCTGAAAGCTCCCTTTTCATCTACATCATTTTGTGTAATCATTACCACAATCCTGTGCGGCAGCAGAACTGACTCTAACATTCCCATCTTACAAACTAAAAGCTCAAGGCTACTAAAGGGACTTGCCGAGTTGGTAACTGGCAGAACCAGGACTTGAGCCTAGTCTTCTGAGTCCCATATCCTATGGTAGTTCTACTCCCCTACTGCACTCTGGAGATGAAGCTGGGAGAGGGTGAAGGGGGATTTTGCCAACTCCCTGCCCCTTTTCCACCCCCAGGGTCTCAGGAGGGCAGGGGATAAAAAGATAAGGGGGGGGTGCCTGCCGAGTGTTGCCCACTAGATAACCAGTTGGGCCTTCTGCCTCTCCCACCAACGGCCACTCCCTTATCAGTCCAGCCCCCTCCCCCACACCTACCATGGTTCAGTATTGTCTACAAACCAGAAACCCAAAGCTTCAACTCAACCCCTTTTCTTTCCTTAGACTTGCTGTGGAGGAGGGAGGTAGATGGGCCTCCAACGGATCCCACTCTCCTTACAAACAGAAAATAAGAAGCCCCTGGGAAGGAGCCTAGGTTTCAGGGGCTCAGTTTGGAGGCAAGTGGTAACTAGACAGGGTCTCTGCTGGTGTGTATCTATGCCTATGCACAGGTGTCCCCTCTCCACCTCACCCGGCAGCATAGAGTTTCCTGCTCTACTATTACCTGACTGGAAGAAGTGTTATATTCATAGTTGGGTGCCAGCCAGGTCCCAAATGCCATTTTCCCCCTCCCCACCAGACAGGAGGAGAAAGTGAAGCTAAGTCCTAGCCACTGCTGCTTCCTCATGTCCCACAAACTTGATTGCATTTGGAAGGGTAGCTGAATTGGCTGTATCTGAGCCCCCTCTCTAATTCTGATACAAAATCTATTCTGTTCCTTGGTGGGGGGGAGAGACAAAGGAAGACCCTGTGCCAACATGTGCCATGTAATTCTCTCCCCTGGGTCCCCTCCTCACAATATGGGCCAAAGGAGGGTTCCAGAGGGGCCTACCCTACACGGTCCCCGAAGGTGCCAAAACTCAGAGCCTGTGTGTACCTGCACACGCGTGTGTCTCATCCTGCCTAGCAGGCTTCCACCCTCAGCTCGCCCCAACATGCCTACCAAGGGTTGGAACCCAGCAGCCCCAGGCAGGATCAGGGTGCCCGTAACAGGCCCTCGCCCCACACATGAGCTCTCAGATGTCACATCCACAGGCTCCCAGCATGACACACAGCCTTCACAAGCCAGTCAGAACTGAGTGAGGAGCACGCGTCCTCGGGAAAGAGACGGTCCCACCCAGTCCCAAGTCCCCGCCACTCCAGACAGATAAGGCCATGTAAGAAGTCAAAGCTCACGTTGCCCACCAGAAACCCTGCCTGCGCAATACACCCAACAGTCTAGATTAGGAGACCTGGCCCTCATCCTCTACCTAGGCCCTCCTTTTCACAAAACCATTACTGCCCTGCTCCTTGGTTTCAGGCCCACTCTGAGTGTCAGTGTAAGATCCTAGAGACAGGAGAGGCAAGACACCAGGGTTCCTCTCTAACTCTGGAAGAAGTTTCAGAGCTTCAGTTTCTCACTAGAGAAATGACAGGCACATTACCTGGGGCTGGGTAACAGTTCTGCAGAGCTAAACCCCAAAGCTCAGGGGCCTCTATTTACACATCCAGTGAATGGACACAAATAAAACTCAGCATCTCTCCAGAGCCACAACAACTACCAGTAGCCCCAGCACAAGGGGTTGGGAGTGAGAAGAGAAGGGGAGGGAACATCACCCAGACCATCTGTCCCTGTTGCTGCCTGTCCCCAGAAGCAGGGGTAGAGGTAGCAACGTGGGGGTGGGGGTGAGGGGTTGGATGTGTCACCCAGTCTTAGAGTCAGGCAGAACCCTGGCTCCCATCTCTGGCAACCTGGGAGCCTTCAGGAAGGGGGAGGAGAGAGAAAGAGCCCAGAACTAGTAAAGTTTTCTCTGAATGGAAGCGGTATCCTGTGGCCTTAGGGGGGCATCTCCAGCTGGGCATTTCCATGGTAACCGGCCTGACCCGAGGGCAGGCCTCCTCCCTTTGGGGGCTGACCACAGGTCAGCAGGCCTGAGGGCCCTGGCCTCTGTGAGCTGGGGCACCTCTCTCCCAGGCCCGGACCAGACCCAGGACTTCCACCCACCCCCAACAGGCTTGCAGGGTGCCCAGACTTACCTGGGAGAACTGAGGGGACCAGGAGAGGTGCGGGGGCAGCTAGAAGCCCAGAGGGGCCCTGGCTGGGGTGAGGCCTGGGGGGGGGGGGGGCAACTTCAGCCGCTCATGTCCCGAGTGGGACGGGCAGGCCTGGCTGGGAGCTCCACTCCGAGGGCTGCACAAAGACTCTCACGCACGGTCTCAGTCCGCCCCGCTGCGGCCACAGCCCCGGGGGAAAGTTACAATGGCCACTGGGCCAGGGACCGGGGGCCAGGGGGCCGGCCTGGGGGGCGGGGGGCCGCGGGGAGTCCGGAGCCTTCTTTGTTTGCAAGGTTTCCCTCAACAATGGCTGCTCCGCTCTTTCCTCCTCCTCCTCCTCGGCTCTCCCCGCCGCCGCCTATGCCTCTGCCTCCAAGCAGCCCGCCCGCTCTCCCCAGGCCAGCAGGCCCCTCCGCCGGGGCACCAGCAGAGGCAGGGCCCGGCACTCACACTCACTCACACTCGCACACGCACAGACACACGTAGCGCCCGCCGGCTCCCTTCCTTCTCTCCCTTTCTCTCCCTCCCTCCCCGCTCGCTCTCCCCGAGCCGCTCTCAGAATGAGGCCCCAGGGCGGGCGGAGGGTGGAGCTGCCCCCACCGGCCCCGCCCCCCTCCCTGCGAGGCAGGAGGAAGAGGGAGGGAGCAAGAGAGCGAGGCAGGCAGGGAGGACTGCTGAGAAAAACAAAAGAGAGACAGAGACTGGGAGAGACAGGGGACCGGACGGAGAGGTGGAGATGGAACAGACTGGGTCCGGAGAGACCTGGATGGAGGGGAGGCCTGTGGGGACCAGGAACAGGAATGCCGCCCTCAAGCCCCAAGTGGGGGTGCTCAGGGGTGAGGTGGGGAGCCAAAGCCACAGGCAAGGATGGAGGAAAGCACTCTCCTCTCTAGAGATTTCCAGTATCATCTAACAGCCTCCTCCGAAACATCCCCCAAATCTCTTTTCCTTTCCTCAGTGATCTTTCAGGTTGGAGGCTGGCCTGGGCAGCCACTCTTGACTGGTGAAATCCCACAGCAGCTGGGGGGAGGCTGCAGGGGGTTATTTTTGACAGAGACACACACAGACTTCAGCCTGTAAACACTGATTGGAGAGAGGGGGACAGTCCAGGTTCCCTGGCCCCCAACCCAGCTAAGTTCCAAACAGATCTGCCTTAGCAGAGGGAGGCCCCCTTCCCCCCACCCAACATCACCACCACCACCATACCAGAGACACGTGGGTGCAGGGGAAAGGGGCCCTGTTAAGAGTCAAGGAAGGCAAACTTGCCCATCTAAGGATCCCCAGAAAGGGTCCAGTCTGCTGCTGAATCCTCTCCCTACACCCCAGGGACAAAAAAGGTATATGGTTGCCAGGGTAGGACCTGTTCTCCAAAGCAAGGGGGGAATCCCAAGAGACAGACAGACAGAGGGAGAGACACACACACACACCCGGTATGGGGGGCGGGGGGGCGGCAGTAAGGACCTCTTACTACTTTGCAATTTGAGTCTCAGCTTTCTATTCCCTAACCCCCAAGCACATTAACACACAGTCCCACAACAGGATTTCTCATGGCATACACACCAGTTGACTGTGCAGTAACAATATTATTGCACCTGGCTCTGTGAACATCCTCCACACATAAACAACCCATCTCACTTTCACATAAATCAGTACCTGATACACACTTCAACCCATGATATACCTCAAACTCCAAATAAACCCAAACCTAAGAGACACACACATACACAGTCTATGTCAGACCCTGATTTCCATACACACTGGGGCTTGTGACGCACATGCCCCCATCCCCAAGACACACCCCAAAATTGCACCATACCTCCTGAACCTTTGACAGCCTGCTACACAGTTTGCTACCCAAGGACTAACTCCACCCTCTTTGAAATCTGCACACCATGCTCCCTCATGGCCTGGTCATATGATACACTCTGGCTTTCATAAACATACTGAAAACTATACAATTCAGCCAGAATGCCTACCATCATAGTGCCTACCACCAGGACTTGAGATATTTGCCCTGATTCTCAAATTTACAGCCCAACTCTGGGATAACTACATTCCTCCCCCTCTGACAGGACAATTCTTGTCATTTGTTTCATGCCTTTAAATTTTGCAAAGTACATTCACAAGGCAGTACCTTAAGAGAGTCTCATAGCATCCAGGGTCAAATATTATCCTATCTTGAACAGATTACAGTGAGACAGGAGGGTTTGAGGCTGGAACCCTGGTTCTAATCCCACTCACACAAGCCCAGCCCTGAGGCACTGCAGCCATTCCTACTGCCTGCCCCCTCCAAGGAACGGTCACTCCAGGCCCCAAATGACTGTCTCCTCAGGGACAGGACATGGGTGTGTGCTCTGGCTTCTGCCTCCAGTTCAGAGCTCAGAATCCCCACCCAGTCTGCCTCTTCAAATTTCAGGGAGAAGGGCCCCTAAACACCAAGATGTAGCCAGACTCTGGCATATCATTCAAAACAGTCCCTCTCCTAGTTCCCCATCTCTAGCAAGTCTGTTCCTCTCTTGGTTTTTACTTAATTCTCCCACTTGCACAGGGGCAGAAGAGGTCCAACTGAAGAGAGCAACTCAGAGTTAGAAGCCTCTAAAATTGGTGGGGGGTGGGGTGGGGAGAAAGCTGGGAGCAGCAAAGACTGACAAAGGTGAGGAGGGAGGGAAGGGCCAGAGCAGCCCTTCTGGGGGGGAATTCTGAAGGGCAGCAGCCCGCCCCAGCCCACAGGCTAAGGTACCAGCACTGCCCCCTGCCCGGGCCCCTGGGGCTCCCTGACCCAGGCCTCCAGTGTGCCTGCCCCCCTTCCTTTGTCTGTGCCCGGCCTCCCGTTGGCCTGGCGCTCTGCCATCCCCGTCTCCTGGCTCCCAGCCGCCACCACTGCTGCCTCCTCCCCTCCCCCAACTCCTCCCTGCCTTAACCCTTCTGAGCCACAAGCTGCCCCAGACAGGCCCTGGCCCCCTCAGCAACCTGCCCTGCCCAGGGTGATGCCCCTTAGCAGAGGTTCTCCCTGCTCCTGACCAAAGCCCCAGGAGCGACTCCGCACCCCAGGAGCAGTATGGGAGCTAAGGGTGTGTGTGTGTGTGTGTGTCCTGTAGTGTTTCCTTCCGCGTGTGCATGTGTGTGGGTCTGCGTGTGCTCTGGCTTCCCTCAGTCACATGTGTGGGGCATGTGCTGTCTCTGCCGGGCTGGGGGAGGAGGAGCCGGGAGCCAGCAGAGCACAAAGGAGAGACTCAGACAAGCAGGCAGGCAGCAGGCAGGCGGCCTGCCAGGGCGCCTGGCCCCCCCACCCCAGGGCTGCTCAGGTTGGGGGCGGTGGTCTTTGGGCCTGGGCTGTACATGCTGCCACAACGTCCCCGTGTTCAACCATGTGCTCACACACACCCATGCAAGCCTGGTGCCCTCCCTTACCCCAATCCTACCATTTCTCACCCCCAGGACACTCATGTTCCTCCCCAAGGGGTTCTCCTTGAAGACTAACCTCCAACCATGGTTTATGGCATCAATCATAAGACTTCCTTACATTCAAGAAAAAGATTCCCCACTCTTGGCCATCTTAGGCCCCCTCTCCCCCAACCGATCACTAGACACACGAAAGGAGCATACCATTTAGGTATGCTGACAACTGACTGAAGTTGTCCCCCCTCACACACAAAGGTCCTCATCTGTCCCCATGCTGCTCAGAGAGACTGAGAGGGAAACTTTCTCCCTTCTACTGGACCACGCACACAACTTCAAGACCAACCTACCATCTACCTCCAGTCTGACAACTCTTCTAGACTCGCCTCCTGCCCACTATTTGTAGGAACTAACAATCAACATTTTAAGACTCAACTCTTTAGCTATGCATCCCTTTAGTATGATGATGGACGATCAAGGCCATGGGATGGACTCAAGAGAATGGATGGGTCTGAACAGGGTACTTAGCATGGGACAATTATAAAGAAAATACACACAGGAACATGTGTGATAGGAGCTGATAGGAGGAGCAGTGATGGGGCCAGACAGGATTCCAGCCTGGCAGGCTCTTCCCTCCCCTCCTCCCCCCCACCCTCTGCAGCAGGAGCCAGGGGTTCCCACACCCAGATATTCCAGGATCCTCAGGCTCTACTAGCCCTCCCTCTGGGCTCCATGCCCCTTAAACGTCAGCCTCAGCAGGCACTTTAGGTGTGTGCCCAGCCCAGCCCAGCTTTGGTCTGGGTCACATGATTTTCAAGGAAGCTTCCGCACAGGCAGCTTCCCTTGGGGATTGTGTTGGGGGGAAGGGGGGCTTCCAGTTGTAGGGTATGGGCCTCCCAGAGAACAGGGCATGTGAATGGGCAAAGGATCCAAACCAGGCTAGATTCAAGAATATCTGACTTTCAAAAGAAAGCTAATTCCTGCCTGGGACAAGATGGGGTTCTGCAGATAATTCAAGAACCCAGAGTCGTGGGGACGGGTAGAAACCATGTTCTGAGGCCCTCTGAAGACTCCCTCTCCATTCACATGATCCTGGCAGTAGATAAGAGTCTTCCTCTTCCCTAGGAAAGAACTCAGACCCCAGCTGTCACTGGCAAGAGCTGATGTGTTTGGGGGGAGGCAGGAATCTGAACCTAAGTCCTCTCATTAGGATCAAGCATCGCCTTCCTCAACTCAAGTCTCACAAGTCACTCAATTTTCTAGCTTGCCTGGGGCTGCCACATTCCCCCTCCCACTAGGGCTGCCAGGCCCAAGGGCCCAATTATCTGCGCCCCCCTCCCCCGCGGACCTCCGGTCCCTCAGGAGGGCCAACCGTCCCTGGCAACAGGCAGGATAATTTGGAGGGGGGCAAAATGGTCCCCACTCAAACCCTCCCCGAAAACAAGAGGCCTCAAGCAACAGTCTGGAGGTAGGTGTCACAAAATGTTAGAGGGAATAGGCAGCAAGCTGGGGGGGCAACCCAAACCAGCCAATCACAACTCTATGATGACCTGAGGGGGGGGGTCAAAAGTCCAGACTCACTTCTGATTGGCTAACACCCTGGAATTCTGGGAATTTCAGCCCCCCCCACCCCTCCCTAATTAACCTCCCCTCAAAAAAAACACACACAACCTACCTCCAGCACCCCTTACCCGTGCCTCTGGGCTGCTGCGCATTTACACAGTTGGGGAAAACCCTCCCCCAACTGAGGCCTCACACACCCCTTACACGCTCCCGACCACAGCCATGCCTTCGACGCCCCCCACACAAGTTCTCACCAAACAAGGATTGAGGGATCTGCAGGGAGGGCTCGGGAGGGAGGGGCCGGGAGGCCGCGCGCCCCACTCACCAGGACAGGCACAGCCCACTGACATCTTCACATCGCCCGCCGCTGGGGGCCCAGCCGAGTCACGGTGCCCGCCCCGCGCGGGGACAGGCCGGGCATGAGCCGCCGCCGCCGCCCGCGGCCCCCGCTGCCCTCGCCGCCGGCCCGGCCCGGCCTCGGCCCGGTGCGGGCGGCCCCTGGCTGCAGCGAGAAGCTTGTCAGGCGCGGAGCAGACAGGAAGGAAGCCAGGCAGGAAGGCGAGCTGCCTCTGCGTTTGTGCGCACGGGTGTGCGTCCCCGGAGTGTGTGTCCGTGTGTGCGCGTGTGCGTGTGCGTGTCTGTGCGCTCTCGCCGCCCTCCCTGCCGCCAACGCCGCCGCCGCTCGCCCCCTCTCGCTCTCGCGCTCCTTCTCGCTCTCGCTCTCCTCTCTCGTAGGCGCCCGCTCTCCAGTCCTAACCGGGCTGGGCCGGGCTTTATTAATATGCTAATTGCCTGCTAGTGGGAGGGGAGAGCCGTGTCAAAGTGACCCGGGCGAGGGCGCAGCGAGCTGCGACGTGCGTGCGCCGCGCGGCGGGCGGGCGGCGAGGGGCCGGTGGCGCACCGGGCTCGGCGTGCATGTGACGCAGCTTTTAAAAAAAGGAGACCGAGGCAGAGACCCCGGAGAGGGCAGGAGAGGGGGAGGGAGAGGAGGCGAAGTCTCACGCTGGGTGTCCGTCCCCCGGGCGCCGCCGAGTAGGGAGCGCAGAGGAGCCGGAGCGGGAGCCAGGACTGGGGGAGGCGGAGCCAGGGTGGGCTGTGAGGTGTAGCTCTCTCCACCCCCGGCCGAGCTCTGGGAGGGAAACCGGACTGCCAATCCCCCAGTCCATGCTTTCTGCTGAAACCCCAATCTTAATCTGGACGGCCCTGGTTATGCGCCCCCATCACATCATGGGTGGGGAAAGCAGTATTATCTTAATTCGAGTAGCAACCCGTGAATTTATCTCCCCCCCGCCCTAAATTAACTACCCCTACCTTGCCTGCTAAACCAGTTAGGACTGGAGCTAAAGGGTTAATTAGGTGAGGTCCCGGCCCCCTCCCTCGCCTAATTGCCTGGGATCTGTGTTTTGCTGGGAAGAGGGGGGCAGCGGAATGACCGCCAGGTTGGACTGGGGAGGGGGAATCCGCAGGCCGTCCTCTACCCTTGCAGACTCTGACTCATCAGTCAAGATGCTCTCCTCCCTTCCCCCCTTTCTCCATCCAGTCTCAGCTTCCCTCCCGCCCCAACTTCTCCTGGAAGCCGCTTTCATTTTGAGTGCCTCGGAGACTGGGGAGGACTGGAAGCAGACCCCTCCATTGCCCCCTGCCCGCAGGAGCTGGGGCCTCTGTTGGAGCGGGTGGGGTGATATGGATGGTCATCGTGAGGAACACTCCTTCCCCAGGGAGGAGCCTCCCAACCTTCAGGCACTCCTCAAGGATTCCCCAACGCAGCCTGGAGTGGGGGTGGGGGGCCTCCATCTCCACCCCTTCCCAAAAGCCCAGCCTTAGCTGCCTCATAAACAGGAAATACCTATTAGCTGGGAGGAGGGAGGGGAGGGGAGCCGTCTGGAAGAGAGAGTTGGCCCCCTCCCTTCTGGGAGGGGGTCCCCAGCTGCTAGCTTCTCTTCCTTAAGCTTCATAGTGGGTTCCAGCTGTAGATGCTGGGGACCTGGGCGGTGTCCCCTTCGTAGGCTTACTGGCCCAGACTGGGCGGTGGGTCCTCCTTCCTTTTGTTACTTAGGTGGGGATTGATAGTGAAGGTTCCCTCACCCCTGCCCAGAGTCTGCACAGCTGGTTTGACTGGCTGGGGGAGGGTTACAGATGTGGAGGCTTAAGTGTTTATGAGACCCTTTAGCTTTTGCTGAGGGAGCAGGAAGCGAAGCTAAGGGCAGATGCAGAGTCTTAGGGATGAAAAGAGAACCAACCAGGAGATGGGTATCCCCTGCCTTGTGCTTAGGAGAGGTTGGGGGAAGGGAGCTGTAAGTGCAGCCTCTCACTAACTCCAGCATTCCATCCACCTTGGATTCCCCCACCCCTAGCTTTCCTGTCTCCACCCTCTGGAGGGCAAAGCGGGGGTGGGGGGCGGCGGAGGTGTGCAGATAGAAGCCTGCAAAGGGATGCGACTGAAGCTATCCACACTTACACAATTATTTCTTTGGCAGCATCCCTTGCCTGTGTCCACCTCCTCCCCACATTCCCCAGGGCAGAGGTCAGCACTATAGGGAGTAAAGGGAACCTAAAGCAATATAACCTTAGCCTGGAATTTTGGATACCTCACTTCGAATTCCAGCTTTACCCCTCACTAGAAAATTACTTGGGACAACTGACTTCCCCGTTCTGTACTTTACCCTCTGTAATTGGTTTCCCTGGCTTGGTGAGAATCAAATGTGACAGTGTATGCCCAGTTGTCTAGCCCAATACCAGCCATGTAGTCAGTACTTGGTATACATTAGCTCCCTTCTGCTTTCTTTGAGGTTATCTGTTATTTGAAAAGTTTCAGGAGTGGGCTGGATTGTATTGACCCCTTTCACTCCCTGTGTGTTAGTCACTCAGTCGTGTCCAACTCTTTGCAACCCAATGGACTGTAGCATACCAGGCTCCTCTGTCCGTGGGATTTTCCAGGCAAGAATACTGGAGTGGGTAGCCTTCTACCAGTGGATAGAAGTAGTAGTGGATTCCCTTCTCCAGGGGATCTTCCTGACCCAGGGATTGAACCTTTGCAGATTCTTTATCCTCTGAGCCACCAGGGATGGATGCACACAATCCTGTAACCACTCACCCCTAAGGCCACTCATTCCAAACAACTAGCTTGGCCAGATTCCATGGTTATCACCAATCACTTGAGTGGACAAAGGGGCTTATAACCCACCCTATAGGGGACTTTGCCTCCTCTGAACCTAAAGTTCCCTTCTAGACTACAAAGGTGGAAGGCAGAAGGCAGAGAAGAAGAAAAACAGCATTTGTTGAGTATACACTACGTGCCAGGTACAGTGCTAGGTGTTTCACACCTGAAATCTTATTTACTTTTCATGCTGACCTTTGGAAGAAAGTTGTGTTAATTCCATTAAACAAGCAAGAAAACAGATTCAGAAAGGTTAATAAATTCAAATTTTCTTTAAAACATTCTTCTCCCTCTTCTTTGCCTGTTAACTAGTTAATGTCTCCTTTGAACCTCAGTTATACTTCCAGTATTCACTTCCAGTATTCACCTCCTCTGGGAAGGTACCACTCTCATTCCCATTCCAGCTGATCTATTGATCCTGTTTCTTTTAAGAAAATATCTCAATACTGTTGAATGGATGATTAAGTAGTTTCATCTCCTTGAAGAACCATGCTTAGGGAAGTTAAGTAACTTGCCTCAGGTCACACACGTTAACAAGTACTTGACCCAGTGCTCTTTTCTGCTTTACTTCTAGTTTGGACCAGACCTGGGGGAGAAGAGGGAAGCATCATTGGAATATCTCTGGAAATTGTGTTGCAAAGATGGGAGGAGAAGCTACAGACGCCTGGCAGATAGCACTAGTAGGGAGGCAGTGAGTCTGTGTGGAAGGTCCTTAACGACAAGGTCCAAGGGTGGCAGGCTTAGCTGATTTGGATGGATGGATTTGAGCACCCACTATTTTCTTTTTTTGAGGTGAAATCACACGACATAAATTAACCATTTTAAAGTGAATTATTCAGGGACTTCCCTGGTAGTCCCGTGGTTAAGACTCTTTGCTTCCACTGCTTCCACTGCAGGGGGCACAAGTTCCATCTTTGGTCCAGGAACTGAGATTCCACATGTGGCATGGCAAAAAAAAAAAAAGAAAAAATTAATAATTCAGTGGCATGGCAGTATTTTTATTTTTTAATCTTTATATTTTTAAAAAATTCTATTTATTTATTGGTTGTGCTGGGCATTTGTTGCTGTGAGGGCTTTTCTCTAGATGTAGCGAGTGAGGCTACTCTAGTTGAGGTGCACGGTCTCATTGTGGTAACTTCTCTTGTTGCAGAGCAGGCGCTCTAGGACACAAAATGGGTGGTTGTGACTTCCGAGGTCTAGAGCACAGGCTCAGGAGTTGTGGCACATGGCTTAGTTGCTCTGGGGCATGTGAGATCCTCCTGGATCAAGGATCAAACCCTTGTTTCCTGCATTGGCAGGGGGATTCTTTACCGTCGTGCCACCAGGGAAGCCCACCAGTATTTTTTAATACCAGTCATTAGTGTAAGATGGACTCTGGACATGGGGATGAAGCAAAGTGGGAGGTGCTCAGAAGAGGTGAGGTGGTAAGAAATGAAGGGATGAGCCCCACAGACAGGCAAACAGCAGAAGCAGTGGGCTAGACTGGCCTTAGGACAGGTGAGTTCCTGGCTTCTTGCAGTTCCTAGAACCTGTCCCATCCAACTCCTTTTCTTGACCTTACCTTGGCCTTGTCTGTTTTCTCCCACATTTCTTTTACTCCCGAAACTCCCTTAAATACTCATTGGCATTGCTCTTTTTTGGGGTTGTAATGGGTCATCATTGCTGTGCGGGCTTTTCTCCAATTGCTGTGAGCTGAGTCTACTCTCTAGTTGTGATATGTGGGCTTCTTACTAGGTTGACTTATCTTGTTGCAGAGCATGGGCTCTAGGGTGCCCAGGCTTCAGTAGTTGCGGTTCCCAGGCTGTAGAGCATAGGCTTGGTAGCTGTGGCGCATGGGCTTAGTTGCTCTGTGGTATGTGGGCATGTGGAATCTTCCCAGATCAGGGATTGAACCCCTTGTCTCCTGCATTGGCATGCGGATTCTTTACCACTGAGACACCAGGGAAGCCCCGACATTCCTCTTTTTTTCAAGGGTGAATCTGCTTTTTCCATCAAGATGGTAATGATATGTCTTATTGATGTCTCTGTCCCCAGCACCTAAGAAGGTGCCTATAGCCTGATATGTATCATATAATATTTATCAAATGAAAATAAGAATTCTGATAGGATTTGTCTTTCTCAGCTCCAACACATGACTCCTTCCCTTTTGTCCATTTACCATCACCGTGACCATTTACCACTACCATCTCTTTC